GTGCCAAGAGACGATGAGCGTTTCTCCAAAGGAGCAGATGTCTTGCAGAGACAGTGAAGTCGACTTAGATCCCTCATGTGTGCATCGTTTTTTGCCCCTCCTTCTCGTAGTCGCTCATGTAGATACCCTCAGAAAGGGATTGCCCCCTAGTATGTGGGCTTGTCCACGGAAGCTGGCTGGCCCAAGGGAACTCGATCCAATTGCACACGTCGATCAGAGGACAATCCATGCTTCGCCCATTCGTGTGGGACGTTATTGGCAGATACCTTCCCCAATACTCCGCACGCCATACTTTCCTGTACAAGCACTTAGTGTCGCTGACCTCACATTGGCATAGTAGGCCAGACCAGCTCGTTGGTCCTTCTCTTGTCCAGTGTTATTAGACTCACCAAGCAACCCTACCTCACCTTCGTTCTTCGAGCAGTGGGAGTCTGCTGGTGCGTATGGGAAGATGCTTCAAGGTACTACCCCGTCTCCTTCATAAATACGGCCACCCCCTCATTCCCGCCAGTTTACGCAACTTACCTCCAAGCTAATCTACTCATTGCACCGTCTGACGTATGCAACAACCATCCCTACCTACTCAACCTCCATTATTCTAAACCCCGCATAACAAATACCTAGAATACAGTCCTAGCAGTCACCCAAATCAACTCAGACGCCTTTGCCGTTTGTCCGTATCTGCCACCGGTTCCAAAGTCGAGCACTGCAACGTTCCGTGCCCATCTTACAATGTCTAGTAAGCGCTCCACACGATGCCGGCTCGTTTGCCTATAGCACGTGCTGATTCGTATCGGTATAGACGATCAAAGCCGCACCGATGCCATCCCCATCGAGACTCATACGTCGCCGGTCGCTCTCAATGGAGAAGCCGCACCGGCCCTCTCTTCGTCGCCTGTAGATCGAAGGGCCAGCACTGATGAATGGGGTAAGTGTGCGAAGCCGCGTCCCGAGACGATCCGCAATACTCACCGGTAACCTGGATCAGACGCTTCGAAGGTGCCGCCGAGTCGCTTTCAAAAGCGCAAAGGCTCCATCTATGCCACCCCCGGCTCTCGCGATGGCCATGTCGACAGGAATTACGCGACAGGCTTCCATGAGAAGCACACCGAGAAGGGCTACGGCAAGACCCCTGCTAAATAATTTGCCTTCGACACGCTTGGGAAGTAAACGTCTTACACAAAAGTCTGCACATCAGAATCTATCACGCTGTGTACGAATCGACAAGTAAAGAATTGAATTGGCGACACCGGATCAGAGATAATGTTTTGGGTGTGCCTGTTCTGAGTCTGCCTGTATAAAAATTGCTATACGTAGCCCAACCATCGCCAGTGTATTGCCCAACTACAAAAGGGCAAGAAATTGATGTGTTATTCGTCAATGTCGTCAATATCAATTGCGTCTGGGTTGGCAGCAACAAGTGTGGTGTCTGTTGCGCTGACTTTTTGGGTGTCGCTTGCTGCCACGAAACCGGCTGGTGCTCTCGCCTGTCTCTCGAGTGCGGCCATGGCATCCGCCACTTCTGGGTCTGCCGAGTCGACGTCCGGCTGTTGCTGGCTACGAGCAAGCGCTTGCGATGCGATGAAGTTGACGTCGGTGTTGTACTGCGCCTGCACACTCCGCTTGATCCGAAGCATCTCTTTGAACGTATCCTCGTTGCCATGTTGCACTTCAAACGCTTCCCACTTGGCCCAAAAGTCTGGACTGGTACGTGGGTCGCAAAACTGTGAAGCATGGCCATAAATAGCCCGCGCCCGATCAATTTCGCCAAGGCGCTTCTCCATGTCGGCAAACTTGAGACACATATCCCGTGCCTCGTTATCAGGCAAAGTGGAGATGGCCTTTTCGTAAATGGGTCTTGTTGACGGCAGTCCAAAATTGGACGCCGACTTGGTAATATAGAAGTTGAACATGTCTGCCCGGTCCTCATCGGCCACCGCACGGGTGGCGCGTTCGTAGATACGCATGGCGTGTCGAGCAAGACCTCTTTCCTCTTCCAAGTTGCCGTACATAAGGTAAATTACCTTCGCAAACTTGGGCGGGCAGTCTTCGATCGCCTGTTCGAACAGGTCGCGGAGACGTTCGATGCCAATCTTACGATCAACGGCCTTCGTAAGGTAAAGATTCCACAGCTCGAATGCCACAGGATAGCTGAAGAGATCCAGGCCACGTTCGTAAATCTTGAATGACTCTTCGTAGTATTGATTCTCCTCGAGCAAGTTGGCGTAGTTAACCACAGTCTGTGGCGTCGCGATCCGCAACTCGAATATCCGCTCATACACCTTGCGGGTGTCTTCCAGAGAACTAACGCTTTCCACGAGGTCCACGTAGAAACTCCAGAGCTTCCAACTTTTGTGCACGCGTTGTTGCGGCGATAAGGTCTCGTCAAAATAGTCGACTGTCGATCTTTTTGGCGCCTGAACTGCCTTCGCCATGATCCGGACGGCATCGTCAAAGTTCTCATTCCGCAACTCCATTTCGGCCCATTCAATCCACATGTCTGCAAGTTCTGCTACGGACTTGAACGGTACCTTGACGGCCTTCTCCATGATAATGCGCGCATTGCGAATGTCGCCACCCCGCTCATAGAATTTCGCGTAGTTGGCCCAGAGTTGATGGAAGGGCCCAACGGCCTTCTTCGGCTGTATCGTCGCGATGGCGGCAGTGTAGGTTTGCACAGCTTCTACCTTATTTTCACCCCAGAGTGCGACCCTCTTCTCCCACTCGGCAACGTTATTGGGGTTTTGTCGCAGAACGACGTCGTTCAGGAGAAATGGTCTCCGATCCATGAGCTGCTCAAACCGCATCATGCGTATGTCGAGCTCGAAGTCCGCCTCTTCGTCCACGATGCCCTTGTCTGCACGATCAGAAGCAACTTCCATGAGTGCCCCGATAATTGACTCTTCAAACTCGGCATACGAGTCAAAGACAAGCGTGAAGTCTCTGACCGTCATAACAGTCGTGACAGCCTCTTCAAAAACGTCTCGAGCACGTTCGAAGCTACCTCGTCGAATCCAGTACGTTGCCAGCCCGCACCAGAGCTTGCCTCGTTGGTCGGCAAAGCGAACGATACCACTTCTGATGATTCTTTCCACATCAATACCTGTTTCGTGCCCGGTCTCTATTTCGGCTGCGTGCTCCACGATCATGTCCACCATCTCGCCCCACAGCTCATAATGCCCCTTGCCATGCTTGCTTGTGAAGCGCAGGTTATTGAGAACATCAATGTACTTCTTCACGGCCTCAGTGTAGAGGCCAACCTGTGTAAGAAGCTCAATAAAGTCTTCGGCGTCTTCGGGATGGATCTGCATGTAACGACGCCAAACTTTGACAGCACTGATGCCTGCAGCTGAATTCGCGAAGGGCTTGTATAGAGCCCAGATTCGATTGTGCTGAGTAATTGGCAAAGCGCGGAGAGCTCGATCAAACGTTCTTCTTGTAGTGGTCACCAGCGGTTGCTGAAGCAAGAACTTGAGGTAAAGCTCCCATATTCGAGGCATCTTGTTGAGAAGAATCAGCCCCCGTTCGAAAAGCGCGTTTACTTTTCGATACTCTGCAGCGAATATTGCAGGGTTTAGTTTCGAGACGTGTTTGACGCGGAAGGTGAGGTACTGTCGTGACTTTGTCAGCATGATATGGAAGTTGAAACCTCAGACGCACGCGCGCATACCATCTTCCACAGCTTGTACGATCGAGGGAGTTGAAGACAAGCTCTCTCAAGCACGAAGGCGCGCTCGCGAAGCGTCCCATGTTGTGTCTTGAATTGTATGTAGGCCAGCCATGGCTTCGCGCTGCCGGGATTTCGCAGAACATCCTGTTCGTAGACAGAATCCTCGTCACTCTAAGCAGGCGTTAGCATTTGTATATTGGGGCGCGGGGGAGTCTCGAAGACGAAACTCTACACGTACAACCAAGTGCAGGTCTGCGCATATTTGGGAGCCGTCAGGCAGCAGATGTGCCGGCATCTTGATGCTGTTCGCTTGCCCAGTAGTCGTGTGCAATAGAGGGCTGAGGAAGCAGGAGGGAGAAACGGGACATCTGCGTCTGCAGAACGAAGAAGCGATTGACGAGTGGTTATCGGTGTGATTCAGACAGAGGCCATTATGCGGACGAGGTCTCGGGGATCATCGCGGCGCCAGCTGCCGGGTAACAGATTGGGTATCGTAACATTGACGACGAGGAAACCATAATGAAGAGCCCTTCGCGACATCAACAAGCACCGACCGGAGAAACCAGACCCACTTCAATGTAGTTAGTCAGCGCGCGCCGCACTACCATGCTCATGCACCTTAGTGTTGTCGCAAACGTCGGGCCCACTAATTGTCGCGATTGAGGACGGAGCACCTCCATGTAAATGTATCTGCATCGTCCCCAGGTGCCCAGGTGCCCGAGGTACCTCAATTCAAGATATACATAGTACTGATGCGTAAGACCCTAGCGGCTACATTACCACTGATGGTACAACTCGAGGCCACAGAGCTCTACGGCTCGCTGCGGCCTAGGTTCCTTTGAGATAGGTAGCTACCTTCATAGGCAACTGGCACCTGCGTGCCTGAACCCACCTACTAGCTGGCTAGGTACCTTGTATTGCGTTCCATACCTACCTATCTTGGGTGCCTGATCTAGGTGCCTACGTACCTTAGGTAAGGTAAGGTAGGTAGGTAGGTACCTTAGGTAGGCACCTAATGGGGCCCGGGCATCCCTACGTACCTTCGGTACCTTATCCCAGACAGGATGGCTTAAGGTTGGTAGCTGCTGGAGCAACTACGGCAATTGAAGCACTGGATTGACGCAACGAACTTCCAATCGTCAACCCGCAACGACAACCGAACTCGACGCGCATTTTCTTGCTGGGGCGTTTACCATTCACCTCCTCAATCTTCCCTTCTTTGCACTCTCGTCGCACGCCGCTTGTTAGCCGCCTTGTCCTACGGTCGTTGCATTATTATCTACGTCGATCTGGTCAACCGAAGCTCTCCTTTCTCGCAGCTCCAACCATCATGTCGGGCGCTCCTGTATGTGAAAGACTTCCGCACTGAAAAGGTACATTCTTCGGATTGCGTGGCTGACAGGGAGTTTGTTTTTGTGCAGGATCGAGAGGCCGTGTTTCCCACGCGCCAGTCTTTGGGAATCATGAAGGCCAAACTCAAGGGTGCTGAGACGGGTCACAGTCTACTGAAGAGGAAGAGCGAGGCTCTGACGAAGTATGCCTCTTTGATATCTCGGAATGACTTCTCATCACGTGGACTGATTGCTGACATTCTTTGCACCGTAGGCGATTCCGAGGTTCGCCGCTTCACCCCTTTTCTCAGTTGCGCCGGCTAACAACACCCTAAGAGATTACAAGACGCATCGACGAGGCCAAGCGAAAGATGGGTCGCGTCATGCAGATTGCATCCTTTTCTCTAGCCGAAGTCACATATGCTGTTGGGGGTGACATTGGCTACCAGATTCAGGAATCGGCGAGATCTGCTAGGTTCCGTCTACGCACCAAGCAGGAGAACGTGTCTGGTGTCCTGCTTCCAGCCTTCGAGAGCTATGTCACTGAAGGTAATAATGATTTTGGCCTGACGGGCCTTGGAAAGGGCGGCCAGCAAGTTCAACGTTGCCGTGAGACGTATGCTCGCGCCGTAGAGGCCTTAGTTGAGCTCGCTAGTCTGCAGGTGCGCAACCTCGGAACATCCCCTTGTGTGCCTAGCAACCTAGCTGACGCCCGAAGACCGCATTTGTGATTCTGGACGAGGTGATCAAGGTTGTCAACAGACGCGGTAAGTCATCTAGGTCGATTTCGTGCCCTCTCGTGTACTGACGCTAGACAGTCAATGCCATGTAAGCGGCGCACAGCTATCTCGTGCATTCAATAGCCGTTGCTAACCATATCAGCGAGCACGTCATTATCCCTAGAACAGAGAACACCATCAAGTGTACGATCTGCCGGATTAAGTTGGTGGTGGCCATCGGCAAGCTAATTATGACATAGATATCAACTCAGAACTGGACGAACTGGACAGAGAGGAGTTCTACAGATTGAAAAAGGTGCGCTTCGGTATAAGACGTTCTTGATCGACATCAACTGACGGTAGAGTAGGTGGCGAACAAGAAACAACGAGACACGGCAGCCGCAGACGCAGAGATCAAGGCGAAGAAGGCAGCCATGGCAGACCATGAGGTTGATAACAGGTCAGGACCTACCGACCTCCTCGCCGCTGACGATGACAACGATGTCATCTTTTAAACATCAAGCATGTCCATGCCGATGGGCCACGACGATTGTATTATAGCCTAGGTAGCTAGCCAATTTGGCCGTTCCTGATAAATAAGTCCCTTTCGCCCTAAGCCGAAATACCCACTACCACTTGAGAACACGGAAACATGACCGTATGAACTACTGTCGCTGATACGTAACCTTGATTGTGTGCGAGTCTCCCAGTACCATGCCGGCCGTGTTCTCTTTCGCCGTAATGGCACCCTGTTCGCCGTCGTACTCTACGAAGGCTATGCCACGACGGCCAGGCACCAGACGGACCTCCCGAAAGCCCTCGAAACGTCCGAATATGCTGGTGACAGCCTCAATATCGTAGTCATCAGGGAGGTTCTGAACGAAGAGAATCTTATTGGGCGGAAGGTACTCGTCTGGTACGACGGCCGTAGCAGAAGGGTTGGTGGACTTGAGGCCAGTGCCACGGGCAGCTTTGGCAGGTCGGCCTGTCATATCTGGTACGCTGCCGGCCGGCCCTGATCTCTTCAGTCGCTTCTGCTCCTCGGCGGCCTCGTAGGCCCTCTTTTTGTCTAAAATCGCAGTCATCAGTTGGATGGTCCGAGAGGTATAGACTGAGCAATAGACAGAGACGAGACAAAATACCTTTTTCAGCCAAGCGACGACGCTTATGCAACTCAAACTCTTCCTCATTGCCGGTGGTCTTGACTGTCGCGTCGCTCCTCGTTCGTGCCAGCGCAAGCTGCATAGGTTTATCGAAGAGTTCAAATCCTTGGACATCGTCGATAGCCTTTTGCGCAGACTCTGGGCTATCAAACACCACGAAAGCCTGTCCTTTGGCTCTCAGATTCGATTTGGCTACGATGTCGAGGACGTTGCCATACTCAGAGAAGATCTGGAGCAGAGCATCTTTCAGCTGGTCGATTTTGGCGCGTTCCTCGAGATTTCGCACATAGACTCTGTAGCACAAGTCAGCCAATGACCCGACGTGTCGAAGTGCAATGACACGCACGTGGTAATGGGAGCACTTGAAGCCATGCTGACAGTAAGTAGCGTTGTAGGGAATCAGTGATCAAGAAGACTTAACGACGAAGCCGAGGTTGAGAAGGTCCTGGATGGGAAGTGAAGACGCGACACGTGACAAAATGTGACGGGAGGTTTCGGTGACTCGGTGAGGCTGCTATGTGTTATCCAGCGCGTACCCACAAACCTAACAGGCACCTAAGGTACCTTAGGTCGGCACCTACCCGCTGAGGTCCTGAGGTCCCTAGGCAGGTACCTTACCTTAGGTATATAGATAAGGTCAGCTAGGTAAGGTGCCTAGGTAAGTGGGAAGGTGAAGGTGAGTGGGGTGCGTGCGTCGATAAGAACCTTAACTCAGACAGGTACCTCAGCCAGGTGCGGACACAACAAATGTGCCCCACATTGTTAGGCTCAGATCCGTCAAGCCACATTTTCAAGCCTCATTCCATGTCTAGCACCGCAGAACGTGGCCTCTAGAAGCCATCAGCTTTCGTGTCCAAACCTGTGAGAACACATCTCGCGCTAGCTACCACTTCGCCGCATCTTTTAGGAAAAAGCTCTGCCTTTGAAGCGAATCTTGTTCTGCAAGCTTGTTTCCAACTTTAACAACCCAACTTTCTTGCCACGCAACCAGCAACACTCGACTTCATCGCAACAGCTGTCAAGCAAGGATGGATTACGAGGCTCTCAAGGAGCAATGGAGTGAGGTCGAGGACCGTGACGGAGTCCGTCTTAGCTGGAATGTCTTCCCCAGCTCGCGAATGGTCAGTCCAGTCACCAAGTCGTCAAGCTTGCGTCAACTGACCATCACCTATAGGAAGCATCACGCCTCGTTGTGCCCATCGGAGCCCTCTACACACCTCTCAAGGAGAAGCCCGACACCCCTCTTCTCCAATTCGAGCCTGTTACCTGCAAGCAGCCATGTCGCTCGGTTCTCAATCCCTTCTGGTAGGCTGCCATCGCCTTCAACCCGACCTTTTGGCTGACCTTCTCCCGTTATCTTGCAGCTCAGTAGATGTTCGCGCACGTCTCTGGATATGCCCTTTCTGCCTCTCGCGAAATCCCCTGCCACCGCATTACAAGGACATCACCGCGAACGCCATTCCCCCCGAACTGCACCCCTCTAACACGACGATTGAGTATCGACTGTCCCGCCCTGCTCCCAGCCCTCCCATCTTTCTGATGGTTGTAGACACATGCCAAGAGGAGGACAGTCTTGCCGCTTTGAAGGAATCCTTGGTCATGAGCTTGAGTCTTCTACCCGAAAATGCTCTCGTTGGCTTGATCACCTACGGCACTATGGCTCAGGTCCATGAGATTGGTTACACCGAATGTGCTAAATCTTACGTGTTCCGTGGCAGCAAGGACTACAACGCTAAGCAGGTGCAAGAAATGCTTGGTCTTCTGTCTCCGGCTATGCGCCCTGGCATGCCTCAACAGCCCGGACGACCTATGCCGGCAGGTCCCGCATCGCGGTTCTTGCTACCCGTCCAGCAGGCCGAATTCCAATTGACAAAGGCTCTGGAGCAGCTTCAGAAGGACCCCTGGCCTGTCGCGAACGATCGCAGAAATCTACGATGCACCGGTGTTGCTCTGAGCGTGGCAGTCGGCCTTCTTGAATCCTCCTTCCAACATGCTGGCGGTCGCATCATGCTTTTTGCCGGTGGCCCCGCCACGGAAGGGCCTGGTATGGTCGTCGGCCCCGAGCTACGTGAACCCATGCGGTCACACCACGACATCGATCGAGATAACATCAAGTACTACAAAAAGGCATTAAAGTTTTACGACAATCTGGCTAAGAGAACAGCTCACAATGGGCATGTCATCGACATATTTGCCGGCTGCTTGGATCAAGTCGGCCTGCTTGAGATGAAGGGTCGTAAGTCTCGAGTCATTCGTTGATGTTTATTACAACGCAGTGTGTGCTAATGTATCACGTCAGTTTGCCAGCAGACTGGCGGCAGCATGGTTTTAACTGACAGCTTCACAAGCTCAATGTTCAAGCAGTCGTTCATTCGCATGTTCGAAAAGGATGGCGACGATAATTTGCTCATGGGCTTCAACGCAACGCTTGAAGTGTTGACAACCAAGGAATTGAAGGTCACGGGATTGATCGGACATGCCATCTCGCTCAACAAGAAGTCTACTTCAGTGGGCGAGACTGAATGTGGCATCGGCAACACATGCTCATGGAAGATGTGTGGAATTGATCCTGGCTCTAGCTATGGCGTCTACTTCGAAATAGCCGGCCAAGGGGGTCCAGCACAGCATCAACAAACGCCGCAAAAGGGTATGATGCAATTTCTCACATACTATCAGCATTCGTCGGGCCAGTTCCACCTAAGAGTGACGACGATTGCGAGGAACCTTAGCGGGCCAGCAGGAGATCCAACAATCGCTCAGTCGTTCGACCAGGAAGCCGCGGCTGTTCTCATGGCCCGGATCGCCGTATTCAAGGCAGAAGTTGACGACGGGCCTGATGTTCTGCGATGGGTTGACAGGATGCTCATCAGACTCTGCTCCCGTTTTGCAGACTATCGCAAAGATGATCCTTCTTCATTCCGCTTGGAGAAGAACTTCACTCTATACCCGCAATTCATGTTTCACCTGAGAAGAAGTCAGTTCCTCCAGGTGTTCAACAACTCGCCCGACGAAACCGCATTCTACCGACATGTTCTCAACCATGAGGATGTGAGCAACTCGCTCATTATGATCCAGCCCACGCTGGACTCTTATACTTTTGACCAGGCGGAGGCATCGCCGGTTCTCCTCGACAGCTCCTCCATCCAACCCACTCATATTCTCCTGCTAGATACCTTCTTTCACATCCTCATCTTCCACGGTGAGACAATTGCGGAGTGGATGAAGGCGGGCTATCAAGAACAAGAGGGCTATGAGAATTTTGCTGCGTTGCTTGAACAGCCCAAGGAAGACGCAAGGGTATGTCTCTTTGCTGGAAGTCTTTCTGTTGTCGCTAGGCTGACTAGGTACAGGACCTCATCACCGACAGATTCCCATTGCCAAGATTTATCGTCTGCAACCAAGGCGGCTCGCAAGCAAGGTTGGTCACTGCTGCGGGGGTTCCTGCGAATTGCAACTGACGGGCCATAGATTCCTGCTCTCAAAATTGAACCCCTCGACAACCCACACGACTGGTGCCTATGGCGGCGTTGGGGCGCAGAACGCGCAAACCATTTTCACCGACGACGTATCTCTCCAAACCTTCATGGACCACTTGATGAAGTAAGTCTTAGTTGTGGATGGCTTGGTCGGCGAACTGGTAACTAACGTTAATGTTCGTGCAGGTTGGCTGTGAGCGGCACAAACTGAGGGTGCCGCATGTGCAATAGACGCTGGTGAGCGCGCCGCCAGTATTGTCGAAGTTGATAGAAAACGGCGGAAGCGCGTCGTGGACAACGATACCAGTTTGACAACAGGTCTGGATTGGCATGTTCTGGCCAGAGCGGTTTTCATAGGCGGGATATTCTACCCATCATGAATCATGCATGATGCCCATGCCAGCAGACGGCTGTCAACAAAGTTTGCGGGATGATCTTCTAGTAGACGCAATACCACAAGTTTAGGAGAACCCATATCTCAAGTGACTCTTGTGTCTGATTGCAGCATTGTGATCAGGAAAAGCCAAAGGCAAATTGAACTAGAAACTAGAGTGCTATAAGAGCTATCCAGGATACCGATGCGGACGAACACTGAAGAAGATTGCCCCGCCTCCTCCAGCTTCAAAGAAGGCACATTTCAATGACCGCACTTGTGGCTGGTGGCTAGTGGCTGAAGTGTTTAAGCGACTGCTGAAGTGAGCCTAAACCGCGCAGAAAGAAGAAGAAGGCCCAAAAAAAAAAAAAAAAAAAGAATCAGCATGAGAGGACCTAATTGGTAGAGGATCACGTGAAGGCAGCAGAATGCTTTCTTGCAATTGGCTAAGGCCCAAAGAGTTCTCGCCAAATTTTCTCGTTGCTAGGATGCCAGCCACAGTTGACTGTGGCTGTGCTATGAACTGCCATCTAGGGCTGCGGAGACGGCGCACACATCTGCAAAATTTCCTCGACCCTCTCAAAGCGTCTCAATCTTCCTTCGATCACCAACTTTCCCACCAGACCCAGATCCGAGAGCAGTCAAGATGCGTAAGCCTACCCAAGATTCAGCATGTCTGTGGACGTTGAAATACTAATTATGCCGTCGCCGTGCAGCTCCCAAGTTCGATCCCAATGAGGTCAAGGTCATGTTCGTCGCGCCGCCGCTGCTTGCTCGATCCGAATCGAAGGGAATCTGTTACTAACGTCGTGTTTGCGAATGCAGTCACCTCCGTGCCACCGGAGGTGAGGTTGGCGCCTCCTCCGCCCTGGCCCCCAAGATTGGTCCCCTCGGTCTGTCTCCCAAGAAGGTTGGTGAGGACATTGCGAAGGCCACTGGCGACTGGGTATGAACGAACCCCCCTCCCCCTCCCGCTCCCCTCGCGGGACAGGGTCGTGGAGAGAGCAGCGCTCACAGCTACAATTATAGAAGGGTCTCCGCGTCACGGTGAAGCTCACCATCCAAAACCGTCAAGCCGCCGTCTCCGTCGTCCCCACCGCCTCCTCCCTCATCATCCGCGCCCTCAAGGAGCCCCCCCGCGACCGCAAGAAGGAGAAGAACATCAAGCACAGCAAGTCCGTCGCCCTCGACGAGATCATCGAGATTGCGCGAACCATGCGCTACAAGTCCTTCTCGAAGGACCTGGCGGGCACTGTCAAGGAGATCCTGGGTACGGCATACAGCGTCGGATGCCAGGTCGACGGCAAGCCCCCTCAGGCCATCATCGATGCCATCCAGTCTGGCGAGATCGACAGTAAGTGCATCCCACGAACCGCGACTCCGCCGCCCGCTCGGTGCAGCGCAGTCTGGCCGCTCAACACGCTGACGACGTCTTGCAGTCCCTGAGGAGTAAACGAGGTCAACAGCTTGACGGTTACTCGCATGACTTCTGGAGTTTAGGAATGGTTCTGCATTAAGGGGACTACCCAAAAGGGACACTCTCTGGCAATCAAAGAAACTTGCCAAAAAAATGATCAAATGACCAACCGATGCTTGCCGCAGACGATTTTCACCCGAGATGATGTGTTGTTGAGTCTCCCAATATCTGTCGCAGCGGGCCTGCGGCGTGGCCAATTTGCGCCTACCCGCCAACTACCACCCTTGACTACACTCTGAGATATTCCACGCTCTCCCATGGTCTATTTCAATTTTGGTTTCAAGGAAGATGATACGCTTTTTCGGAAGCAGATCCCAATACTCACCGCGACATCCCACTGCACCATGGAAGTCGAGGTCCACCAACGCGGCTCACATGCTTGAATTATCCTTCTGCTAATGACTTTGAAGAAGTGACATTGAGGAGTACTAATGGCGACGATCAGCCATTGCACCCTCAAGATTGTTAGGCATGACTATCACGCCCTGCTGACTCTGCTTCTGTGCAAAGGTCCTCAAGCCCATCTTCGATCGCCTGGTACTTCTAATAACTCTTTCATTTTCTGGGCATCCGACGGCTCAGCCCTGCGCCCGGGACTGCCCCAGGGTTATGTCTGTTCGGTGTAACGTAAGCAGTACGTCACGGGACGGTCGCATGAGCGGCGCAATGCGCTCGGTTTCGCCTGTGTTTGTACCGTCCGTCAGACGTCTAGAATGGCTGTAGACCATGGAAGCAACGCGACACACAGACTGTCCGGACGGCTAGGACCAGGACAGGTTGTCAGGCTGCGAGACAAGGCAGCGCAGGCGGCGGGAAGGAATGGTGTTTGGTGTTTGGCACTAATGCATGGGTCCAGGTTCGTCACCCCAACGGTCGGCGTTTAAAAAGAAAACGTACTGCGCATGGCCCCTATCCTTCGACTTCGCACGCACGTTGGCATGTCTTGAGCTGCGCGCGGAGCATGCTGAGTTACGTGTCCAGAGGCATCTCCTCGTCGAACTAATCCACGCGATCTTGTGGGTGCCATTTTGTCTGCTCAGGCCGTGCTGTTCGTCTGAGGTGAGGAGGCCTGTCGGTTGCTGGAAGTAAAGGAGCAGGCATCTGAGTCTCATCGAGCCCACGCAGGCGCTTACCAGGGAGCCTTCACTAAAGCCGCGCCCCAGTGGCTACCCCGAAGGCTGCGGCACGGCACACTTTTTGCGGTCCCCTGAACTCTGAGATGCTCGAACATTCCTCGTGGCCACCCAGTTAGAAAACCCTTTACGTTCAAAAACAAGAAGCAAAACTAGTAGTGACGTCGAACAACTGTGAATCACATGGATGTATTCGTCTCCCCAAAGACCTACTACTTCCTCATAGCTTTCAATGCGAAATCCCCAGCACCCCTCCCTCTCACCCACAGTGAGGTTATGGTGCAATCAGTGGCAGGGTATGCTGCAAGTAGATAAGCACGTAGGTGACTAGGGTATCTTGGTCCTTGACTGGGTTGGCCGCTTGGCCAAGGCCTTCGGCAAATCGAGTCCCATTGGAACGAACAACACCTCGATGGATGGTCTGGAGGAGTGACTGCTCAAATAACTCCCACCTGCGTTGGCCTGGGCTCAACTGCTTTATCCGGTGTGTCTTTCTTGGTTGTGTCGGGCCTCCATAGCTACTAAGAGAGAGGCAGAGCAGGCAGTAGTACAACCCGACAACAACAACAACAGCAACAATAGAGGCAAAACCACACACACCACCACCACCGCGCTGGAACTTGAGGCTAGTGCCCTTGCGCCTTCGTCCCCTGCCTAACTACTTCGCGTTCAACTTTTTGTTCCACCTCACCTTGCTTTTACACTCAACCATCCGCTTGTCATTTTGACATTCCGCCACCATCCGCCGCCGCCGCCGCCGCTACCGCAACCGCTGGCGCCGCCGTCGCTGCCCGTCCCTCGTTTCTGCGGATCCGACCTCCAAATCCACCCTCCATCCACGCCCAGTTCAACCATCTAGAACATCGACCGCACCGATCTGGTATTTCTGGTGCCATCACGATATCCCACAAACCACGAAGCTTGTTCAAGTCGCTACCGCAGCCACTTTCGCTGCGTTTCGAGTCCGACTCGACGGCCTCTTCTTCGGCCCAGGTCAGAGTCGCTGACGGCACTGGTGTCTGGTTGGCATCTTCATTCAGCCAAGGCAGCCCAGATGCCATGCCCGTCAACGGGCCCGTCAGCCATGCTTTAACCAGCGGGCAATGACAATAGGTTCCCGAATCGCGGCTTCCAGCTTCCTCTTCGCCTTGCCTCGACCTCTTACTATCCTATTACTAGCATCGCATAGCCTCTTTGCCTGCTCCTGGGCCGCATTCTCTCCTGAGCTATCGTCTCACTCATGTTGCCTCTAGTCCAGATGCACCACATGGTGCAGCCGCCACCGAATTTCGACCCTCTTCCGACGTTCCAGCAGCAACAGGATCACCTGCACGTACAACAGAATCAACTGCCCTTTCCTCATCAGCAAGCGTATACCTATGATCACCCTCTAAGCGGCCCGCCTGCCGAATCTCCGAACGTCCCGTTTCCCGATGGCAAGATCCCGAGATCTTTCCCCATTCGTACCTCACATCAACAGCAGCTTCATCGGCAACGTGGGGTTGCAAATGTGGCCGAAGTGTCACATTTCCCCCATCGATCAGAACATCATTTGCGACGCAAGACACCGAACGGCACAATCGATGCGGGTTACGATGGCTCTGCTGTACATCTAGCCTCGGGGCCTCCGCCCCTGAAACAGATGATACTCCCAGCCGCGCCTACTGCCTACGCCGCAAATCACCTTCGCCCAGTCACCGTCACGGATCCAAACCTCCGCTCCAGACTGATTCCGGGCACACAACCTCGCGTTTCCGTGCCCGTGATCCATGACGCAGCTGCCGAGAGCGTGAACGCATACCAATCATGGGCCCTGGGATTGGACATGTCAGCTCAGCCTTTGCCAGGCGTATGTTCTGCGAGTTCTCATGCACCAAGCACGTTACAATATAGGTTTAATTCTCCCGACACGTCCCAAATTCTTGGGTCTGCTGCGCTATCGCGTCCTCGGTCGACCGCGTATAATGCCAACCCTTTCTTTCCTGCAGCGCTTCCTACGGACCATGCCACTCCAAGTTTTGTCCCGGGGCTTCTCCAGTCGGCGAACCCTTGGTTTCCTCCGCCTCAGCAACCCAGCTACGTTGGCCCGCCTTCCTTCCACACGCCATCTCCATCCACGTATGACTACCGGTTATGTCAGCTCTCGAACCCATTTCTTCGTCCGTCCGCCCACTTCACTCCGCCGCATGCTTATGTGCGCAACGCGTACGGACCAGGCTTACTTCAGCCCGCACAGTTCAATCTGGAAGCTTTGGCATTAGAATCCAACGTTGGCGGCGTCATTGGTCTGGAAAGTGAGGCCGAAGCATCCCCATGTGGCTTCAGGGAAAAGGCGCTCGCTCAAGCTCATCGGAGCTATGTCGATTTGCTTACATATCTTCACCATGGTCGCAAGACGCAGCAACTGCGTCCCGGGTCAGCGCTGAGCACGATGTCGAGGATGGTTGTGTACCCCAAACCCCCGAAGCAACCAGCAGCTACAACAGCCCCAATCTCTTTTTACCAGAGAGACATGCTCGCGTCGCACAAACCACAAATAAAAGCGAACCCGAGTGGCTTGTTCCTCAGGCCATCTGGGAGCGAGACACAACTCCCTTCACGTCCTAATATATGGGATGGCAACCAGCCGGATTTGAGAGAGAACATGTTTTCAGTCACAAACCCACCTGGTCAGCTTTTCCCCAGCCAGATCGGGCGAAACTCGCCACTTGCGAATGCGAAAAGTTCGTTAGAAATACTCACTCAATTGTGCGAGCAAAGCGGATGGAAATGGATTGACGGCGTCTTGCTCGGAGGATGTCTTCACTATGGCCTGGAACACTTTGAAGAGGCCACGGAATGGTTTAATCGGATCATTTCCCTGGACTCCGAGTAAGTCAACTCCCTGCAAAATCATCACGGCCGACTACATGTGCGTGAACGCCGCTTTGCTAACTTCTTTATCGTAGCCACGTGGAAGCGATCTCAAACTTGGCGGCCACACTCTATTGTCTGAATCGACAGGAGGAGGCTGAGGAATACTGGCTGAAGGCTATCAAAGCTAGACCGCAGTATTTGGAGGCAGTTGAGCATCTGGTCAGCCTTCTCTACAAGAAGAAGAGCCTTGACGCCGTCGAAGTAATCAGTTTCGTCCAGAAGGCTCTACAGCTTCCAACAAGCCAGTCCGAGTCTGTCGGGTCCGCTGCCGCTACATTACTTGCAGCTGTCTTAGATGAGAATCTTCCGCAGCCCGGCTTTGGCTCAAGCGGATACGCAATTCCAGGGAGTGAGAACGGTCGTATTCTCGCCCTTGTCCACGCCAAGGGGACAATGTTGTATAGCATGAAGGACATTCCGGGGGCATCCAAAGCCTTCGAAGAAGCAGTCCTAATCAGCACGGGAAGGCGCACATCCTCAATTCAGACACTTGTGCGACAAATCCAGCAGGTACTTTCTCCCGATAGTGGGCTACGGAATGTATCTGGAACGGCGACCCCTGTACGACCATTGCTGCTACCTCCTGAGAAGGCGAGATGTACTGCAAAATTGGTATTCTCTGGAAACGGCGAACTTCCAGGGCTTCGATTTGTGCCAGAAGGTGGTCCGAAAAGGGCAGCCGTCCAAACCACAAGCAACTCGCTCCTCTCCCTCGCCAAGATCTTTCAGGATGCCATGTCATCCGGCACATCGTCTAATGGACTAATGCGGAAACCTACTGGTGTTGGTGACATCTTAGCGCTCTACTATTTATCCTTATCTCTCCAAGAGAGCCCCTCGACGGCCAACAACGTCGGAATCCTTCTTGCGAGCGTTCAGCAGCCTGCCGCAATCATGTCACCTGGAACTCTATCGACGCAGCCCAACGTTCCCGGCATTCCCCCTGGCAGTGGACTAGCCCTGGCTCTCGCTTACTACAACTACGGCCTGCTACTGGATCCGAAACATGTCCATCTGCATACGAATCTCGGAAGCCTTCTGAAGGACATTGGCCAGCTTGATCTGGCTATTCAGATGTACGAGCAAGCTGTTCAGTGTGATGGCAACTTCGATATCGCCTTGACGAACCTCGCAAACGCCGTGAAGGACCGCGGACGCGTCAACGACGCTATTACATACTACAAGCGAGCTGTTAACTCCAATCCCGAGTTTGCTGAAGCTGTGTGTGGGCTCTCCACCGCCCTCAATTCAGTTTGTGACTGGAGAGGCCGAGGGGGCGCGCTCGTTCAAGGAGGCGACTTCGACCGTTGGCACGTCGACGATGACGGCATGTTGGTGGACGCACGCCTACAAGGTCGATTTACCGGTCTTACCAAGAAGGTTATCGACATTGTGGCCCGTCAGCTCGAGGACGCATCGACGTGGGGTTCAGGGGCGCTATGCGAAAGCGATATACTTCCTCTCGCTGTACAGCTTCAATCGATCGACCCCGACTTGAAGGATACCTCACCTGATTTGGCGGGAAAACTTCGAACATGGACAAAAAGCCCATGGGAAGGATCTCGGGTGTTGAGGCTGGTGGAGCGAGCCACGCGGGCTTCCATGCGACAATGGTACTGTGACAAATACGTTCGAGGTGTAGTCAACGGTTCCAAGTATGAGCGACCGCGCTTGCCAGCCAACTTGACCGTGCCCTCGGCTCCTACTGTCCTACCTTTCCATACCTTTACGTGCCCCTTGACAGCGAAAGACATTCGCATGATATCACAGCGCAATGCCTTCAGGATCTCATGCTCAACACTACGATCACCATGGCTGCCAAACACCGTGTACCCGCCACCTCGACCTCCTTCGCCGCATCTTAATGTTGGTTACGTGTCGTCGGACTTCAACAACCATCCTCTGGCGCACTTGTAAGTCTCTCAACATCACCGGGGTATGAAACGCAACGATTGACTGATGTATCATGTTTAGAATGCAGTCCGTCTTCGGCTTCCATGACAGGAACCGGGTAAAGGCATTTTGCTATGCTACCACGGCAAGTGACAAATCAGTGCATCGTTCACAGATCGAACGAGAAGCGCCAGTCTTCAGGGACGCGAGCAATTGGTCTTCAGACAGGCTCGTGGAGCAAATAGTCCGAGATGAGATTCACATCCTTGTGAATCTTAACGGATACACGAGGGGCGCTCGGAATGAGATATTCGCTGCAAGACCAGCCCCAATTCAAATGTCTTTCATGGGCTTCGCTGGGACACTGGGCGCTGAGTGGTGCGATTATCTCCTCGCAGACACCACTGCAATTCCCCCGGACACGTTACGCCCCTGGCGTGGAAACTTGACCATCCACGACGTGTTCAGGGACAACACAGAAGAAGAAGTAGGTGACTGGGTTTACTCAGAGAACATCATCTTCTGTAGAGATACTTTCTTTTGCTGCGACCATGCGCAGTCGAGTGATCCAGACGAGCACAAGGTCTCATGGGAGGATGAACAACGCCGGAGATGGAAGATGCGCAAAGAGTTATTCCCAAAATTGCCCGACGATGCAATCATTTTAGGGAATTTCAACCAGCTGTACAAGGTAAGCTTAAGTGATGGAAACTCAGAAGACCGATAAGAGACATGGCTGACAGCTTCTTCAAGATTGATCCTACTACCTTTCGGACGTGGCTGCGGATCCTTTCCCAGGTGCCCAAAGCGATTCTTTGGTTGCTTCGGTTTCCTGAACTAGGCGAGACCAACCTACGGAGAACAGCAAAAGCTTGGGCCGGCGATGAGGTCGCCAGCCGCATCATCTTTACAGACGTGGCGCCCAAGAATCAACATATTTCGCGGGCCCGTGTTTGTGATTTGTTTCTCGACACGCCGGAATGTAATGCTCACACGACGGCAGCGGACGTTTTATGGTCCAGCTCTCCACTCCTGACCCTCCCTCGGTATCCCTACAAGATGTGCTCTCGAATGGCCGCCTCTATTCTGAAGGGTGCCTTGCCGAGAAGCCCTTCGGGACTGGAGGCAGCAAACGACCTCATTGCCAGCAGTGAGGAAGAATACGAGGCGTTCGCAATCAAACTAGCCAACGGCCTCTTGTATCAAATTGTCCCTGGAGGTTATGGCGAGGGAAGCGGTCGACTAGCAACATTACGCAAGCTGCTGTGGGACAGCAAATGGACTTGCGCCCTTTTCAACACCAGGCGATGGGTAGCCGACCTGGAGCGCGCTTACGATGAAGCGTGGCGACGCTGGGTTGCTGGTGAAGCCGGTGATATTTACCTGTAGAAGGCGGCATTGTTAGGAAAATGCGGCAAACTGCTCGGGCACACCGGTCGCTGCTATTACGAAGGGCTCGTGAACAGCACCTGTTGGTCAGGGCTTGCCAACCGCTAGATCCAGCTCGTTGTTTTTTTTCTGTTTCCTTTTGCGCCCGTGGTTTCGTCATTTCCTTGGCCAGAAATGCTGGCTTGCCTATATTTGGCTCAAATTAGACTTCGGGACGAATATGTATATCATGCATGCGGTTGTGAGTGTTGTTCACACCTCGCTTAGCGTTTTGATCACTGCTCATCCAAACGACAGCCGCGACGGAGTTGGGTTATTATCATAGGCATAGGCAACCGTCTAGAGCATCAGAGCTTTGGACAGGTTCTCTTTTTTTGTTTTTCTCTTTCTTTTTCTTTCTCACCTTTTTATTGGTCATTTGACTGGACCGATGGGTAGCTCCCCGTTAGGTCCAACGGTCTAAGGCGTTATCAGGAGGCGCGCCGCATGCGAGCCATGGTGTACATAGTAATACCCGGGGCCTCTTTCCTCCTTGTCGTGAGATGTGAGGTCCTTGCGATCCATGTCCGTTGAATGGCTTCCGTTGCTCTTTCCTTGAGGTCAACCATCTATGATACTTTTTTGATCAAATACTTGGCTTAAGATGTGCTTAGGTTTACCAAGACATTCGGGGTCATGGGGCTATGGGCTTGAGACTCATGAACAAGCGCCCATTTGCTTCTGATATTTTCATGGCCCGTCTCAGCCGGTTCACTATGATTTGTCGTCTCATGTCAGATTATGGGTTATGCCACGCCAATCGAAGCATCCATCGTATGCCAGCCAATCGCAAGTTTTGGCAAGTTTTTACGCATGCCACTTTCATCAGTCACACACGTTCCCCTACAACGGCCGCTGCGAATATATTCGAACGCCACACACGCGTACTTATTGGTCGACCCACGCTGTCGGCTGCGATACAGGCCGGCTTGGCGGGGTGGAAGAGGAAGTTGCTCTAGTGCAACATGGGGGCAGCTGAGTTGATCGCATGGGTTGTGACTCTACCCCAAGGCAGCGGCGCGCCGCTATTGAATCACAGCTGTATAGTACCTAGTACGGTTCAGTAGAAGCCACAAACGGGGGACGGGTAAGGATTCCTTCTTCTGAACGGGTGCAGTATTTTAGTGTACGGCAAAGGGATCATCGGAACTTAGATATCATCTTCGATGGGGCAATACTGTAATAAACATTGCATTGTGTCTTTCTGGGGAGGCTGAACGAAGAACTTGATCCTAGAACAAGAACATTGCCGATGGCATCGCAACGCTGTAATGTGTATCGCGGATTACGACGATGTCATGGAATTTCTTGCGTATACCTCGGTACGGGACATGGCCAACGGGCTAGGGAAGGTAGACATCTACATGCGGTACTAATTTCAACAGTCGCATGGGCCACGGCATGAATTTATGACTTTACACATTGAGGCGAGGGAGGGCGTCAAGGACAAGTTCATGCGCATGGGTTGGTTCCGTTGTCGCTCGGCAAGCCATTGTTTCAGGAGCTGGAGATGGCACGATATGGCGAATCAGACGGGCTTATTCCCTAGCTTCTACAGAACATCTGGCAGCGTCCGTCGGCCCGTTTCTGTGGCTGATCCGGTGCTTAATGCCCATAATGTCTCCGTACAAACAGTTCTCAAGGTGTACACGGCTACTGAGCTGTAGCACGACGCTGTGCGATAACACCCTGGACAAGCGGCTTCGCGTGTGTTATATTTCGGGATAGGTGATCTAGCCAAACACCGCCGCACTTCTGACAGCGAACCGTCAGACACATTAGATGGCTGGCTAGTCACTGGGCGAAACGGCCTATTTTGGCGCTTCAAGAGCGTCGTGTCCAGAAATGTATTGTCTTCAGAGATTTTGACCCGTCGAATGTCAAATGTGGCTTCCTCATGCCGCGCCGGCTATATCTCTGACTATCAACTCTGATATGTAAAATGCAATGTAATCAACTGAACAGGAGAAGGAAAAGGAAGGGCAAATCAGTTACATCACTCGGACGGACGCTCTGTCGACTGGTGGCGACTTCAGCGTAATGAGGCTATGTGAACAGTATGCTATGATTAAGACTGCACGAGAGTGAAGATTAGAGACGAGGCCGAACGGCTGCTCACGAGCCGGTATTTAGCAACGTGTACATCTCGCGAGGCTAGTCAGATGCTCAACGTTCTTCTATGTCGGCGACCGTTGACAGCCGCATCCGCATCCAGCCGTACGGACGGGCTGAGACCTCTCGGTTCCATGGGTATGTGTTGTGGCTGGCTGGCCGGCTAGCCGTCTGGCCACAAGAAATGACCCCTTGTCTGTCGTGGTACCAGAGTCATTCATTTTGTTTCCTGGCGCGTCCCGACCTGTGGCCCATACTGCCTTGGTCCAGGGAAACACCCTTAGATCCAGCCAGCCGCACGAGCGGGTCGAAGGACACTCGATGGAGTTCCAACTATCGATACTCCTACCCATCTTGGACACACATACATGATGTGGGATATCGCGGGAGGCAATTGGTCACGGAGAGTCTTCGTGCCGAAAGTAGCCCCGGCAGATCGTGGGTGCAGAGAGGCAAACATTGGGCGGCGGTGTGGGTGCAAATCACGATGAGAACGGGGCTCAGGGGCCGGAGGAAATATCACGAGTATCGGCAAGGACAAGGTCAGAGGAAAATAGAGAATAAGGAACGCAGGTGAATGGGATGGCTATTTGGTAACTGGGGTTCTGTAGAACTGCAAATCACGGTAACCGCAAGAAGGCAGAAGATTCCAAACACACGGGGTTCGCGGCATCATCCATGGATGACGCCCCTCCCTCCGGGCCAGCATTGGGTCTGAGAGGGACGGACGACGGTTGGAGGGAGGGGGGCAAAATGCACCTGCAGGTGAATGTTTCATGGAACCGATGGGTCGGGTTGATGACAAGGTTAGGAACGGGTGCCCTGGACGGAGATCATTGGCGGGACGGGAGGTGCTAGTGCCAGCTGAACAAATTGTGGGAATTGTATGTTCATGGGTGATGGAGGGGAAGAAGGATGGGGGGGAGGGATGGTGGTCACTCGAAAAAAGAATCGTCAATTGGGTGCACTCGCTTACCATGTCCATTTGCAGCCTAGACCGACCGAACGACGGACAGGGGGGAGGTATAGCAGTCTGCAGGGACGACTGGCTTAAATTAGGTTTTTTATTAGTTAAGCACCTACCGTACTGTAGTAAAGTGAGGAGGGTATTAGCGTACTATTTTAATTAGATGAAATTTACTAATTATAATATTTTAACCCTACTTATAAAAACCCCTTATTTATAGCTACTTAGTTATTTAAAACTTCTTCTTTTTTTTCTCTAAGTATTACCTCTATACATAAGTATATATACTCCCCTTTTATATTTTCTTTTTTTATATTCTTTTATTATTTACTTTTTATATTTTTATATATCTTTTATAGATATTAATATATTTATATAGAACTATTTATAATACTTCTTAAGATTATAGTTCTATTTATTATTAATAATATAAAGCTATTCTTAAATATACTTATAAATATACTATATAACCTTATATAGGACTATTATAGCTTAATTATAACTAAATAGTTATTTAAGAGTATATATATATAATTTTATATTTATATATAGATATACTTATTAATTTTTATATTAGATATAAAATATTTCTTTTTACTTAATATTTATGGCTATATTCTTAACATATCTAAAAATGTATACTTACTTATAATTCTTATTTCTTTTATACTAATATATATTAAACTTAATAATTTATCTATATTTATAATAAAAAGTATACAAACATATTTTTTTCTA